AAAAGAAAAAACATTTGGAGGAATGCGTTATTTTACACAAATACAGGATTGAAATTTGTTTTGACATTTTTAATTTAATGTGGCTGATGTTTCCGTTCAGGAATACAAGTCTGTAGTAAAGTTACTGAGGTTATGTCAAAATTTAAAAACGAGGATTTTAAAGCTTTTTCAGGAAACAAATAGTTTGACTGCAACAAAACAAATTAATAAAAGTGCAGATAAATAAATATGAGACTTGAAACGTATTACTTTGAACATCGTGAATCCGTTACTTGATCTTTTTGACAGTGTTTTTATTTTTAAGGATTTTCATTATTTTTTTTTTTTAAACCAATGTTTCCTCCCTCGGGGTCTGATTTGTTCTTTTAGAACCTGACCTTTATTCTCCCTGCTCAGTATCTGCAACAGGCATCTAAAACCGTGTTCAGGAAGAAAAGACGGGGAAAGGACTCGCAGTAGGGCTGACGGTCCCCTGGCGGCTTAAAGGATCAGTTTCCTGTTGCCTCCCTCCTCTGTGCTCCTGGAAATAATAAGCTCCTTAAGTCAATTTAATTATTCATCAGCTTTAATCGGCCCAAATTATGTTTTACACACACGCCCCAACCAAAGAACACACACGTTCTTCACTGGAACGTCAGAACAAATGGGGTTTATGTCTTACACACAGTAGTGATGGTGGTGGTGGGGGAGGGGGCTTTGACTCTTTAATTCTTTGGGTGCCCCCTCCCTTGGTTTGAATAATAGTTTATCAGTTTGTTCAAATTTAATAAACTTTATTGTCATTCCACTGCTGAATGAAATGCATTGTGTTCAACCCCCCCCCCCCCCCCCTCTCTAAATAAATAAATAAAATCCATTCCTCCATCCTGCCTACCCATTCCTGAGTCAGGTCTCGGAGGCAGCAGCTTGCGGAGACTTCCAGGTGGAACCTCTGCCCACCTTTTACTTTTTCACTTCTGAACTCCGGTCCTTGTTTACTTCTGAACTCCGGTCCTTGTTTACTTCTGAACTCCGGTCCATGTTTACTTCTGAACTCGGGTCCATGTTTACTTCAGAGTCTCTCTGAAAGGCTCTTTTATACTCA